TATAATAAAATTAACGAAAAATAATTATAAAAAATGAAAATAAGGTTAATCCGCGGGTTAACCCATAACCTGTTAGGGTCAGATTAAAGTTGAATGTTTCTAACCCACAACCCGTTTATAATCCAATCTATCTAACCCGTTACCCGAGTTGACTCAAGCCGAATCTGATCCAACCCGCCCATTTGCCAGGTCTACATGCATGAGTGATAGGATAATCGGTTATGGGCCATGCTTTTATTTTTAAGAACTGGGCTCTACCAAATGGGCTAATCACTTGATGGGCTAAATGCATTCTCAGGGCCCAATTTATTTTCTCTCCTTTTTTTTTTTCACCCTTTATTTTCCTTTTCTTTTCTTTTTTCTTTTTTCTTTTTCTTTTTCCACTCGTCTTTTCCTCCAAGCGCCAGGTCCCTTCCCATTCTTCAATTCTTCAATTCTTCAATTTTTCACTCTGATGGTTACCACCTGTAGATAAGTTCTTATCACATGAAATTAATTATATTAGAACATATAAAAGGATAATTTTAAATGTTGTAAAAATTTTATTTATTATATAAATTATATATTTTTTATTATTAAAATTTGAATTATAACAGATATTTAATACTTTTTAATCTCTGCTATATTTTTTTTAATTAAACACTATTTATTTTTTTTATTATTAAAATATACTGATTATATGAAAATATATTGATTTGTTTCTAGAATTTGTTGTCAAGTAGGAACCAAAACGCTTGAAAACAATGTTATGCATCAATCAAACTCTTTAGCCTCTAGGTGATTCTATTCTAAAACATTGCTAGTGTATTTACATCGGTGTGCCTTACCAATCATGGAATGAGTGTTTGCTAATTGGTCCCATATGTAAAAGTAAGTTTAATAATTAAAGAAAAGAAAGAATAGACATAATAATTATTTGGTAATATCCTTTGATTATTCTTTTACTTCTTAGTTATATGGATTGAAAATATCAAGTAAGGAATTAATATATTAGCTTAAGATGGTTCAAAATATACACAACAAAAAATAAAAAGAAAAATGATGATGAATATGAGATATAGCATAAAAGTGTTTAGGGTCTAAAGCTTCCTTCTTTGGGTTAGATTGTAATAAGGTTGTAGAAGACGCAATATCAAATTTAATAAAAGTACCATGAACCACTGCTGCACAATTATTTGAGAAGCTTCAAGAGCATAACTAGTATTTTACTTAATGATAAATTAGTGTTTGCTAAAAAATTACTTTTAAATTATTAAAGAAAAAGCTAACCTGGTCAACTACATTTCTATAATATCTTGAATAAGTAGGCGATAATCACCAAGAAAAAACTGTTAACAAGATGAAGACATGAAAATTAATATTGGATTGAGAATGTTCCTGCACGCTAGAATTGCTATTTAGAAGAACATAGAGTTGATGCAAGTTCTTAAAGATTTTTATATGATAACTAATAAAAAATGTTCATCTTCTCTGGAATAACGTCTATTAATGAGATTCTTGTCTCAAAAACCAATAATTTAAATTCTAGTATATCCCATTCATGATAGAAATTATGTAGCCACTAAAAATTGCGTACTCCTTTTGATGACCAAAACAGAAAACGAACAAAATTTTATGCATTTGTGATAAAGTATGAAACATATTAACAAAGCTTCACCCCACGATTAGTTAGTAGAATGTTGAAATTGTTTTTTTCCACATTAGGTGAATATGAAACAAATAATTACTGTTAAATTTAATTTATGAGAAATGCTAAAAATTTTTAAATAAAAAATAGTTTCTTTCACTCCTACACAATCAAATTAATGTCATGGTAGAAATTTTATATCATTTAACTTCATCATAGAGAGACATTCATATATCTAGAGAGATATTATATAGATAAAATTAAAGTGTAAAATGGTTATTTCAATATAAATATCTATTAACAAAGCCCAAAAATTGCCAAAATTCATAAAAATGCCTCCCTCTCAAGAAGCCCCATTACCATGGCAAATGTGAGACATTAATAAAAGTCCAAAGGTTACTAAAAATCACAAAAATGCCAGCATCTGACAAGGTCCTATTAATTGTGATAAATGTGAGAGAAAATAGTTTGTGCCATTTATTTCGTTAAATCTTACAGTATTACCATCCAATCTAACACATTTAGAGAGAGATAAGAACATATGAAGGCGATAAGAGTGGAGTTGTTTTACAGAGTTGGTTTAGAGAGACATAAGAGCAGAAGAGAGAGACATTGCCCTCCTTATCATACTTATAAGATTTGTGTTAAAACGTCATAAAACAAATGGGTTTTGTAGGTTGTTTTATTCATGTCTGATCTGTCTATATCTTTGATAGAGCAATTGTCCTTCTCGTGTTCCCTTTCTCTTTCCATTCTGCATCCACATTCTGACCGACTAAAAGAGGCAAGTCCCTTCTTTGTTCAAATGAGAATTTCATTTCTTGGGATTGTCTTGGTTGGCTAAATGGCATTGAAATCCATTTATACACTAGGAAGCAATCCTCCAATGCGCTTTCAAATTGAAAGTTCAGTTTGAGGATTGAAGACCTGAAATTACATAGGGGGATTGCTTTCGTTTGGGTGCTTATTGCTTTGCTTAGGCAGAAATAACAGAGGAGAGAAACAACAGCAAAGATTGAAGGGTGTTTGGGCAACTTCGTAGTCCAACACTGTTGAAGTCTTTAGCTGCTTCTACACCTGAAAATCCTGAGGATGTTTCCTCGGGGAAAACACTTCGATGCTTAAGTCAGCAATACTCAATATTCTAGAGAGAGATGCTCTCAAAGAGTAATTGCAAAGAGAGAAGCGTAGAGATTTATTACCTTCTTTGGAGGTAGTTGGGGGGTATTTATAGCCCCAAGTGCTGACATGCATCTGCACATGTAAGCCTTTCATTGGCCCACGTTTTACTACCCACGTGGGCATGTCTCATCACCTTGGGCCCGTGGATGTGTGATTGGGTTTGTAGCATGTGGCCCGAAATGGGTGTTGGGCCTAATCCCAACATTACTCCCCCCTTGGTGTTCGATTGACGAACTGGGTTTGACATTGGTGATGAGGGGTGACGTTCAATGATTCACGACCGACCTCACACACGGTCGACTTGAGCGGCTTGAAGACATTGTGCCTGTCCGGATGTGCAAGTGTATGCCGGCTTCCTACCGAGCAGGCGTGAGGAACTAGTGTTAAAACTAGTCGAGCTCGGTGCTAATCAACGAGCCGAGTAGGCGCACGAGGGTGACCTTGCACAATGAATTCTCTGCAGCGAAGCAGAGGCGAGTAGATAGTGAACGAGCTGAACCAACAAACCCAAACGGGCCGAAATGGGCGACCTTCCTCGCTACTTCAATATAGATCTCTAGGATGCAGAGCAAATCTGAGGAAGGCGGTTACAATTTAACATTCGATGTTCAACACCGAGGTGAACCTCAGATTTGTTATGACCTAACCTCTACAGACTTGTTGAGTTGGGAATCTCTGGAGAGATCTCGGATTAGAAACGAGCTAATTTCTAGAGATTTTCAAATTTTGAATTATGGCAGATCTTTGAGGAGATTCCAGATTTGTTACGAGCTGATGAGATTATGTACGATCTGATCCTTGAGATTTTTCAAAATTTGAATTATGGCAAATCTCTGAGGAGATTTGCTCTGGGTGTTTGGTATTCTTCTGTCGTTGGCAGATATCCTTTTGCCTCCCCGCAATAAATGCTGGCTCAGCATTTGAGGGGACGTGACAGCTGTAGACGGCGCATTTTGGGTTCTTAACCAGAAATGGTTGCCACGTGGACGCATTTAACTGGGGGGCCATAAACACGCGTACGATGTTTACAGAGTACCATCTGAAGGGCCAAAACAAAACAAACAGTTAGCTATTTTTCATTCCATTGCACAATATGTTCGTACATTCTTCAAAAAAGGTTGCAGAGACGCTCTAGGCCATTTCCCAAAACTTCTAGCGAAAGGACATCCAGCTTCAACAACTCAGGTAAAATGGCTTCTTTTCACGATGAACGAGAGTTCCGAGGTAACCAAGGTGAAGACGAAGAGTTTGATGTGATATCTGTGGAACCTATCACCATGATAGTGCCGTTGGAGTTGCAGGATTTGCTCAGAACCACCACGCCGGAAAGTGGCGTTGGTTCGAGCGCGGGTGGTGGTTCTGATGACCACCGGCCTTCAACTTCCAACGATTTGCCTATGGAAGAGACACCTAGTGAAGCAGAGGGTGGTGAAGAGGCTGGGTGCAGTGCGTCAATGATGAGTACAGCAGCAGAGGTGGTGGTGTTTGAGGGGTGAGAGAGCAAGGTTCTTAGAGAAAGACTAGACAACCTTCGCAAGGCCCCCAAAACCTTACCAGCCGAATTTAGGTTCAGGGCGGCACTGCATCATGAAGTTGTAGATGGAGCGGCCACAATGAAGGGGTATAAAAAATTAGAGGAGATGGTGAGGAGGTACCAGATTCCCAGAACCATCCTGATCCGAGCTGGGACACCGAACGAATGGGCGTGTTCAGTATCGCGGATGGGCTGGGTGCTAGTATACGTAGACCATTTTGACGCCTGCCTACATTTTCCTCTGCCCGGACTAATTTTTGACGTCCTGGCAGAGTGCGAGCTGGCCCTTTCGTAACTTACTCCCAACAGCATAAAGTTCATCATAGGCTTTATGCTGTTGTGCGAAAGGTTGGGGATGCTTGCAAAGGCGGTGGTCTTCAGGTCGCTCTTCCTATGTCGTTTGTGCCCGTCCACCAGTGGAACGAGATGGTACTACATCTCGAGGAGAGAGAAGATGATGATATTCACCAATATTAGAAATAAGGTGGCGAGGTGGAAGAGACAGTTCATCTTCGTGCGTGATACACGAATTGAAAGAATTAATAACAAGCTCGCCGCCCGTCTGTCAAAGTGGCGTACGCCGAATACATACATGAACTACCCTTAGCTGACAGTTGGTGATGTCGACTTGAAGAACCGGCTGCTCGATTATGTGAAGGCGAGGGGTTTGGTGGATCTGGAAGCCTTGGTTACCCCAGATCAAATCGCACTTCTTGGGTTTATCAACGTGGCAAACCTTCACGGGGAAGGTACATTTCTATAGCATAGTAGGATTTCTAGCTGACCTGAATCTTATGCTTTTATTTGAGTAAGAGAAATGAGCAGCATTTTGGAGAGGCAGCGTCAGAGAGCATAAGGCTCAAAGGGCCGGGGAGCTGGATTCGGTTCCCAGCGTCAGTCCCGCTTTGACGAGTGGTCGCCTGCTGCACCTAGGCGCAGCTCACAGCACAGGAGTTCCAACTCGGCACCGAGATCGCATGCGAGCAGAGAGTAGAGCCTCTGCCCTCGAGTTCGAGAAAGCGCACGCGGGAGGACTTAGACGCAGAGGATGACATCCCCCTCATCCGGCGGAGGATGAGTACGGGGAAACAGCCTGCTCTAGCCGCTATTGCGCGACCTGCCAGCGTGCCCCCAACGCCAGCTTGTGAGGTTGCCGAGCTAGCGCCTGCCTCGTCGTCTGTAGCGGGGCCACGAATTGCATACCCTGACGGCTTCAGCTACGTATGGACGGACTGCCAGGCCGCGAGGCTGCAGGGTATGCAAAACTTCGTGCCTCCTGCAGATCGGCAATGTGCGAAGGGGCACGTTCAGCAGTATGGAGGACATGCTGCTCTAATAAAGCTGATGGATGTAAGTATATTCACCGAGCTTGTTGGTTTGTTTTATTATTTTGTGCTAGAAACTGATGAGTGTATGTCTATGACAGGTGTTCAGCTACACCGTTGCATTCTTTGAGTGCGAGCAAGGAGCATGGGCGCAGAACAACGAGCTCCAACAGAGCTGCAAACAACTGGCCTCTGAAAAAGCTAGTTTAACTGACAAGGTCAGTCGTTTGCAGAGCTCGGAGATGGCAAACCGAGTGGCGTCAGCGAAAGCCGAGCTGATGAGCTGGCCCGCAAGGTTAGCGAGTTGAGGGAAGAGCTTGACAAGGCTCAGGCAAAGAAGGAGAGTGGCATTCAACTTGCCAAAGAGGAGGCCAGCCGTGTAGAGGATCGGGCTAAGAAGGCGGAATCTGATCGAGAGAGGACTCTGCACGAGCTGAGCGCCCTGAGAGAGAAGGTCTCACAAGTCGACCAGCATGTCGCTCGGGTTGAGAAGTCCCTAGAGAGTACTAAAAGGCTCCACCAGTGCGGCGTCTGCTTTGCTCGTGCACAAGGGACTGAGTGGCTGGTGGGAGCAGAGATGTTCCAGGATGCTGTAGCAGTGGCTTCAGCCAACATCACCACGGACATTTTCAATGAAGTTTGTGGAAAGGTGCTAGGACTCCAAGGTGAGGCTGAAATGGGAGCTTAATGAGGAGGGGCTACCCGTGTGGCCCCCCTCTGTCATTGAAGAAGGGGAGGACATAGAGGGGTTGCCAAGCTTTGATGCTTGGGTGGCAAACCCCCATAATGTGCCTGTTGAGCCTTCAAGCACTCCCCCGTCGGCTTAGCCTTAGTCCGCCCCTGCCGTTGCTCCTGCTATCTCTCCTCTAGATCGATCATCTCCAGCTCGATCTGTGTCTATGCCCAACGACGCATCCATCCCCGTCGACCTGACTGATGATTAATTTATGATTTTTATTTTTTTTCTTTTGTATTGTTTTTTCATTTTTGTGTAAAATCAATGAACTCATTCACAATACGTACTCCACATGTAAAAATTCATTGATTAAATACAAATTCGAATCTTTTCTTTTGAAATTTCTATATTGAATTTTCTGTAAATCACCGTTGACAAATGATCAATAACGACCTGAACACTAATAACATACACGTTAACTATAAAACTTTCTAAGATTATGTATGTTCCAAATGAATGGTAATGGATGACCTTGTAAATCTGCCAACTGGTAAGACTCAGGTCGCTGAATAGAAATAACCATATAAGGTCATTCCCAATTAGGAGCGAGTTTGCCCATGTGCGAATAAACATTAGTTAAACCAACTTTGCATAGAACTAGATTGCCGACCTGAAACTGACGAGCTCGAACTCTTTTATTATAAAATTTTGCAACACGGCTCTAATACACCATGTTTCTTATTTGAGACATCTCTCTGACCTCTTCTACAAGGTCTAGGTTCTCTCTCAAAAGCTGGTCATTGTTAGGATTGTTGTGCCGACCTGCTCTTTCAGATGGCAATCCGACCTCTACTGGGATGACGGCCTCAGCTCCATAAGCAAGGCTGAATGGGGTTTTGTCTGTGGCCGAGCTGGGTGTAGTGCGACATGACCAAAGCACTTTATTGAGCTCGTCAATCTAATTAGAATGTGCAGCCAAAACATGCGTCTTGAGGCCACGCAGGACGATTTTATTGGCAGACTCGGCTTATCCATTAGACTGTGGAGTATACACAAACGTCAAGGCGAGCTCAATGCCATAGTCGTTACAGAACGACCTCAATGCGGCGGATCAAAACTGGGGACCATTGTCAGCGATGACCCGTTTAGGTATGCCGAACCTGTACACAAACGACCGAGCTAAGCCACAGACTATATTTGCATATAATGTACCAATGACTTAAGTCATCAAAGAATACCTGCACAATATGGAATTAAACAAGAATTCTTGTATTTTCTTTTCTGTTGTCATGGACAACGGTTTAACTTCTATCCATTTGGTGAAGTAATCCATCGCGACAACGAGGTAAGTGCAACCTCCTTTGCCTTTCACAAAAGGGCCGAGCAAGTCGACTCCCCACTGAGCAAAAGGCCAGGGAGATGAGAGTGATGAGAGCATTTCTCCTATTTCAACGAAGATATCTATGCTCAGTTTATAGACAAACATGAAGTTTGCACGAACTTGAGAACGGGCTCAGATACCTAGCATGTGAATATCATCAGCGTTGAATTGGCAAGTTGGGCACTTTTTGATAGTTCTGTGCATCCTCAACCATAGTTGGCCAGTAATACCCATGCCTCAGGAGTTTCCGAGCTAAAGTTCTACCACCTATGTGCGTGCCACATACTCCTTCATGAACTTCCCTCACGGCGTATTCAGCTTCATAAGGAGTGAGGTAGCGTAATAGGGGCATTGAGGCTGCTCGTTTGTAGAGCTGATTATCTAACAACGTGAAATGAGCCGCTTTGCATTTAATCAACTTTGCAGCGGACGGATCTTCAAGCAGCTCACCACTGTGTAGATAATCAATGAGCGAGGTAGTCCAGCTCGGTGAAGAGGGATTTATGCTGAGCAGTTGGCACTCGACTGTGGAACCAGTGTAGCTCGGAGCGTCAAGCACCTCAACTATTGTTGACCTATGAGAGTTGGTTTCTTGCGAGGAGGCTAACTTTGATAGCTCGTCAGCTCGTTGGTTATCTGCTCTGGGTATCTTGTCGATCTGGAAGGAAGCAAATCTTGACTTCAATCTGTTGACCACGGAGACATAGCGACCAAGCTGGTGATCCTTAATTTCACAATTGCCCTTCACTTGGCCCACAACGAGCTGAGAGTCACTAAAAACCTGAATGCTCTATACCTTCAGCTCGGACACTAGCTTCAATCTGTAAATGAGGGCTTCATATTCTGCAGCATTATTAGTTGTCTGAAAATTAAACCTCAGTGCATGTTCGGATTTAAAGCCATCTTAGCCCACTAACATAGCCCCAACACCCGATCCTTCAACGTTAGTAGCTCCATCAACATACAAGACCTAGACTGGGTGCTCGGGTAGATTTTCTTTCGCAGTTGCCGAGATGCACTCCACCAGGAAGTCTGCCACAACCTGGCCCTTTATGGTTGTGCACGGCTGAAATTTGAGGTCATACTCGCTCAGCTCAACGCTCCACCCGATAAGCCAACCAGAGAGTTTCAGCTTCTGCAGTATCTTTCTCAATGGTAGATCAGTATAAACAACAATCTGATATGACTGAAATAAGCTCTCAATTTCCGAGTCGTGTACACCAAGGCAAAAGCAGCTTTTTCTGCTAGTGGGTATTTATGCTCGGCGCCTTGTAAAACCTTGCTCACATAGCAGATGGGCTTTTGATTCTTATTCTCTTCCCTAAGTAGGACCGAGCTCACCGCCTCTTTTGTAACCCCCAGATACAGATATAAACTCTCCCTTTCCACAGGCTTGGACAGCAGGAGTGTTGATGCCAGATATTGTTTGAGCTCGTCAAACGCCTGCTGACACTCATCGATCCATTGAAAGTACTTGGGCTCTCGCAGGGCTTTGAAGAACAGGAGGCATGTTTCTGCCGACCTGGCTATGAACCTATGCAGCACAGCGATACGGCCCGTTAAACGCTGCACATCTTTTATAGTCCTGGGCGGCTCCATCTGTTGAACGGCCTGAACCTTCTCTGGATTTACTTCAATTCCTTTCTTGGATACCACGTACCCCAGGAATTTCCCTGACTCTACAGCAAATGTGCATTTCAAGGGATTTAGCTTCATTTTGGCTCAACGCAAGTTTTGAAAGGTCTCACTCAAGTTGTCTATATGATCCTCAGCTCACACTCTGGTGACTATCATGTCATCCACATACACTTCTATGTTTCTGCTAATCTGGAGCTTAAAGATGATTTGCACCAGTTTCTAATATGTAGCGCCAGCATTTTTCAGGCCAAACGGCATTATCACATAGCAGTAGATTGCGTCACCGGCGTAGAAAGCTATTTTCTCCTGGTCGTCCAACAGCAACTGGACCTGGTGATAACCCGAGCTGGCATCAAGAAAGCTCATCCGTTCATGTCCGGCTACTGGCTCTACTAGCTTCTTAACATTTGGCAAGGGATGAGGGTCTTTCGGGCACGCCTCATTTAAATTGGTGAAATCAATGCACATCCTCCACTTGCCATTCGGTTTTTTAACTAGCACAGGGTTGGATACCCACTCAGAGTATTTGACTCTCTTGATGAAGCCTGCTTGTAGTAGCTTTTGTATTTCTTCATCTATAGTAGCCTGCTTCTCAGGGCCAAAAAGGTGACATTTTTGCACCACTGGCCTTTTGGTGGGGTCTGTGCTGAGTTTGTGGACTGTTAACTCTGTTGGAATGCCAGGCATTTCATCTGTAGTCCACGCAAACACATCTTGATTAGCCCTCAGAAACTCTAGAAGCTCTACCCGCTCTTTTTTTGTGAGCTTGGTGCCGATCTTAACTGTTCTTTCCGGGACATCAGAGTTTAAAGGAACTATCTCCACTGGCTCTATCGGCTCTGCCTTCTGCGCGACACCCTTAGGTCGGTGCTCAATGTCTGATATACTCATTGTCTGTTGACCGAGCCGGGTTGGCCTGTGAATTTCAGAACCTGCCGGGGCTGCAACGAGCTCAACCTTCTTGAACGTATCTTGATAATAGGCTCTGGCCATCTTCTGGTTCCCCTTAAGTACTCCTACCCCCTGAGGAGTTGGGAATTTCATACAGAGATGGGGTTGAGAGATGACAGCCTTTAGGTTGCACAGGGTGGCTCTTCCTAATATAGCATTGAAAGCTGATTCCATCTTGACGACTAGGAAGGTGACGGAAGTCATCCTGAAGCGTGGTTCCAAGCCCACATAGATGGGTAGAGTAATGACTTCTTCAACCGGGACGGGTTGATTATTGAACCCATAGATGGGCTGTAATACCCCAAAATTTTGTGATATTTTAGCATTAAGTTAAGGACCTTTGTGTGAGAAAATAGTGTTTTGGGGCTTAATGATCAAAATGTCCAAACTTGAGGGACTTAAAGAGGGAAAAATAATTGGATAAGGATGATTTCTTTTCTTTTTCTTTTTCTTTCTTTCTTTTCTTCCCAGCCTTGCCCGATTCTGCTCTTCTTCTTTCTTCCCACTGCAGCCACCCGAAAGAAAAAAAAGGGGAACCCAGCCATGCCTTGGAAAACCGGTGAGAAAGCTTGGTTTTTGGCCTTCTTTTCTTGCTCTAGAACACAAATGGAACCCAGAAATCCCCCCCTGCAGGAAGCTTCCAGATCTGCTCTGCTCCTCCTCTTCACCGCCGGCTGCTCCTGCTTTGTGGGGGCAAATTTCTCTGATTTTGGGTAAGAAACAGCCATGAATCTCCCTTCTCTAGCTTTGATTGCCTTGGGTTTATGTTAATTGCTCTTGGTTCCTTCAATTTTTAGGTAGCCCGTGAGCTTTCTTCTTCCATGCCGCCGACCTTTCCCCAATCTGCAGCTCCGATTTTAGCTGGAGAATTATGGTATGTGACAGCCTTTTAAGGCTTAAATTGTTCATTTAGTTTGCTAGCTGTGTATGTCCAAATTTTGCTAGAAAAATGGGGAAGAATTTGATAGCTTTAGGACCATGATTGAGCTTAATTCAAGTGGGATTTATATGATTGAGTGTTAATTGTCTGCTGTGTGATTTTTGGAGAAAATCCCGTGAATTAGCTAGTGTTTTGGCCAATTTTTGGAAGTTAGAGTTACTGTTCACGTCGTGGTACTGTTCACCGAACACTGTTCATGGAACTGTTCATAGAATACTGTTCACACACCGAGGGCCAACGATTAACGGGGATTTAAATGATTAGTTTGTGATATGAGAACGATTTTGGAGATATTTGATCATGTGGAGATTTATGGAAATA